TTTATTTCAAAATTGAAGTTATCATATGACAAATATTCAGTGGACAAAGTTTGAACAAAAATCTATTGTCACTTTTATTTCAGAGGAATTACCTTAAGTCATGTCACTAGCCAAAAATTAGTTCATTGACGGGCCTTGATTGGCTGGCAAATGTCGCCGCCACATAAGATTGAAGCGAGACATTTATTGAACTCTTGACTGGAGCAGTTGCGTTCGACTGACGCTATGTTTATCAAGTGTTTCTATTGCGCGACTACAAAGCAAACTGTTGCGAATCACAGGACGTTTTCCTGTTAGAAGGGAGAAAGGAGTGTAACGTGCATTGTAGCTCAAAATGTTGTCTCTCAGTTGAAAAATAAAAGAACAGAAGTTTTATTGACTGACACTATACTTCGCGAATCGTAACTAACACGACTCCACTGTACAGAGTTTGCCTTCAACTTCGTTACCGATATAACGAGCCTGGGCTCCAGTCGCTTTCCACCCGAAACTACTAAATCTACTCGTAAATCAGTTCATCGACGCTAATGACCTGATAGGAGTATAAAGATAATTGCCTGACAGATGAAACTGCTTCCAAGAAATAGATAGAGACAAGCTTTATTTATTCACGGTACAAAATTCGTCAGCTAGGGCCACTACTATTTCAGTTACACATCAACCATCTTCCAAATTTTCTATCAAATTTTGAGCCGAGGTTGTACGCTGATGACACCCACCTTACTTACGCAGGTGATAACGCAGACAATATTCAGTTGCCCCTAAATCAAGATTTAGAAAATGTTCACAATTGGCTGAGAGCAAACAAACTCACTCTAAATATGACTAAAACCGAATTCATGCTTATCGGATCTAGGCAGAGGCTAAGTACTCTCACAGAGTCCCCGAGATTTACAATTAATGATTTTCAAGTTAGCCAGGAATAGAGGGACTATTCAAATTTATTCAGTTTGTTCTGGGTTCCCTCCTCGTTCTGGATTTGCGGTTTCCCAGTTTCCATCCCATCTCAAAACCAGCACGTACAAATTCCTGTTTGATGTGTCTGGTCCAAATATAAATCATTTATCATTTTAGGCAGTTTATACGTCAATTATGTTACTTGCAAAGTGATCTTTGGGACGTTTTCCTGGTTTCTGTAACATAAAGCGACTAGGAGTATTTCTACTCCCCCCTGGATGGGATGCTAGTCCATCGCAGGGTTACACCCAACATTAAGTTCGCCGGTACCCATTTATACACCTGGGTGGAGAGAGGCACTGTGAGAGTAAAGTGTCTTGCCCAAGAACACAACACGATGTCCCCAGTCAGGGCTCGAACCCGGACCGCTCGATCCGGAGATAAGCGCACTAACCATGAGGCCACCACGCCTCCCACAAAATGGTATATACTTTTAGCATTTATATACTTTGCGATCGCAAAGATATATACTGAATATCATCACATTCCACTAAGGATAAGGACGAGTAGCAAAAACTTAAAGAAAAACCTTCCTAGTCTAAAGAACAGTTTACTGTCATTTACAGTAATGAACAAACGGTACTTAACTGTCGCTCGTTTTGCTCACAGGCAACGGATGATCCAGGGGCCCGTTTCTCGAAAGCCCCGGAAACTTTTCGAGCCCTTAAAGCCATTTTTAGTTCATCTGTATCTAAAAACGGAGAAGTGTATACGCCTGAAACTTCTTGTATGAAGGGATATTAAGAAAGAATATGTGAATAAAACAGCTCTGTAATCCTAAGGTTCGAGATTTTTCTATGGTTTTCCGGGCCCGAAAAGTTTCCGGGACTTTCGAGAAACGGGCCCCTGTCCCGACAGACACAAACCTTATTTGGTTTTGTTGATAGCCTAATAACAGGCTGCAAGCAATAATTTCGTTGTAATCATCCTGAGTCATGCTTGCAACAAACACCATACTCGAAAATGCACCCCCCCCCCCCTTTAAGCGCCGCAAAAAGAAACACCATTCAGTGTCTATTAAGTTAAACAACAGCATGGTGCTCATTTGGGACACTAGAGTTCTAAATTGGTGCTTATTTGAAAAGGTGTACGCTCTTTCCAATGACGAATCAGTTCGCGCGCGATTTCGCTAAATAGTAAAGTTCGATATACTGCCTGATATGAGGTAAATAGATTTTTGTCAGAATTCAGTTCTGCTAAAGTAATAAAGTTATCCGCTCTTGATTTCTACGACGTGATTGAAGGCGTCTAGCGATGAACAAGTTTTTCTGTCGAAGAATATCTGAATATGCCTGTGATTTAGTCGATCTATTTAAAACCTTGGTTGGGCTGTAGGTCATTTTATAGCCCGGGTCATTTAGCCACATCGAATGTCAAATAACATTTATTTCTGGTTTTATAGTACACTGGACAAAACTGTTCTTGATCGACCTCTTACATCAAAAAAATAAAAGAAGCGAAACTGTCGCAAATAATTTTGTGACTTTCTTAAAATTTATCAAATTCCACACATGGAAAGTTAATTTCAAATTGATGATGCAAGGGAGACTAGCATTACAGCGTTTCCAAATTTTGGTAGCTGAATCACAAAGTATGTCGCAAAATCACGGGGTTTCTTAGTAAAGAGTCACATTGGAAGTGTTGTTCTGAAAAAAACATCAGTACATGTTCCTGCATGTTTGAGGATTTTTGTCCAAGAATTTGACAAGCTAGCACGAGAAAGATTTTGCAACTTATTTGGCCACTAATGTTTCGCACCACGGATCAGGGTACTACTCGAATTGAAGACACACCACGAAAATAAAGTCCACGGGATCTACCAGTTGTTTTGAACTAGTTTAATCAGCACAAGCTAGCTAGTCAACTGAAAGCAAAGGCATACATGTGGGTTGACTATAGCAATTCTAAAAAATCGGATCTAATCTAAAAAAACGAAACAGCAGAAACATTCTCCAACATATTGTCGATATACTCACAATTCTGTAAGGCGTAATCCCATTTAAGACGCGCTATTTTCCTACTTTTGTACAAAGAACACAAACACACTGTTTTGGATAAAAGGATTACTTTCTACTGATCTCTTGATATCCAACTCGCACCAATCCACGAACGAGAGCCATAATCCGATTGGCTACTATAGCAAAAATGGCGGGAATCTCGCGTGTTCGGTTTTATCATTAGGAAAACAAACATAATGTATAAAAATAAACAAAACTCTCAACGAAGTGCAAAACAACTAAAACGTTTTACCGTCTTCAGACATTCATTTTCTTTAAACTGTTCGGCTTGCCGCAATATCGGACTTTCATCTGTTTTGAAGATAGCAGCCTGTAGCTTTTGTTTTTCTTGCCCTTCCGGCTTTTCTTCCCTCCGTGATTTTTTCCTTTTTTACCCAAAATAAGGGAGGGGGCGGGGGGGCGGGGGGCCGTCCCCGGGCCCCTCCTCTAGGTCTGCCACTGATCACAACTTAAATCTCTGATTCTCTAAACCGCTGAGCATCACAGGATTATGGATTATTGCACCTTCCTCGTGCTTTCTCGTCGAATTCATGAAAAAAAGTACACAAACATGTATCGATGTTCTTCGCACAACTATAAGACTAGTTTGAACACTTCGATGTCGATGAAAAACACGTGACTCTGATTCAGTTAGCAAATTTGAATACGCTGTAACGCAAGTTTGTCCAGTGTACTAATTACGACAGAATGAAAGGAAAAGTATAGGTTCCTCGTCCACCGATCCAGGCTTTACGGCATTTTAATAGAGATGCGCCAAATAGAATGTCTGTTTTCTGATCCCTAGAATATACGCTTACTTAAAAGATGTACCTCGTCACTTAAAAGGCGTGTTTCTTCTCTTTATAAAAGGTTTCGGTCTTCACTTAAAAGATTTAAGTATTTACGAAACCAACAGGCCAGGGAAGTATTGTTGGAAAATGTAATTTCTGACGATTGAGGGACGAATTAGTCGGAAATTATTATTCTGACGGCACGTTGGAGAGACTCGAGGTACATAACGGGATGGTTAGGGACTATTTAAAGTTTTCGGCGAGAGATTTCAGTCTTTCTAGGTCGGTCAGTCGTAGTGATTGCCCAATTTCTTTTTTATGATTATGTTTCCGGATTTGATCAACCTGTGTAAATAATTGTAGAATTCCCTTTCCTCGGGGTCTTGTGCTGCTGCATTAGATGAGGAATACGTTTCCACATATTTTTTTAGGTAGGTAGGTAAAGTCTGCGTACGAGCCAAGTGGTCCATCAGGCCAGAGCTTATCCCGGTTTCTGTAGCATGAAGCGACTAGGAGTATTTCTACTCCCCCCTGGATGGGATGCT